CCAGTTGAAAGTTCAAGATCTTGCCCCCACACCCACAAGTCCATCACATGGTCCAATCCTCCACTGCTATGCTGGCAGTTCCACCCATCCAATTCCAGTCAGGTGCAGAGGTGCAACGACAAAGGATGACCTTGGCTTCCTACAAATAATGCTGTTATGACTACATAGCATCTAACTCCGTACAATCGCCCCTCCCATTTTCCCACATAGAAAATGTGTAGTAGAATAATAGAAAGTGTAGCAAGCCAAAGATCCAAAAGAAAAGATGGCCTGACACACACATGACTTTCTCTATCTTGAAGTGTTTCTTAGACAAGCTTAAGACATTTTAAGATGCGTGAACTTCAACTCCCCAAATGCTCCAGCCAACATTGCTGCCCTTGATCCTTAAAACCCAGGCACTCATTTTGTCTACAGGAAGTCTTCAACTCATTCATTTAGCAACCATTCAAAGTTACAATGACCCCGAGAAAAGTGAGATACAACCAGGGGTGGGTTCCTACCAGTTTAACAACCACTTTGCTGAGCGTTTGCTTCACTCGCACATGTGCCAGGACCCATTTGCTCATGGGAGCAAACCAGTTCACTCTCAGCTTATTTTCAGAGCTACAGGTTTGCCCAACCGGTCTGAACCAGTAGAATTCCACCCAGTGGTGGGATTCAAATAATTTAACAACTGGTTCTCTGCCCTAATGATTCCTTCCAACAACCCGTTCACAAAACTGCTCAGAAAGTTAACAACCGGTTCTCCTGAAGTGGTGCAAACTGGCTAATCCCATTACGGATCCCACTCCGGATACAACCAGTCATCTCACTTGCAACCATTATAGAATCCCCATAGTCACATGATCAAAATTTGGATGCTTGGTAACCAGCATGAATTTACGATGGTTTCAGAGCCTCAGGGTCATGGGATTGCCATTGGTGACCTTCCCAGCAAGCGTCTGACAAGCAAAGTCAACGGTGGAAGCCGGAATCATTTAACAACCACATGATTCATTTAACAACCGTGGCAAAAAAAAATCATAAGATCAGGTGTAACTCACTTAGCTGCCATCTTGTTTAGCTTAGCAACAGAAATTCTGGTCCCAATTGTGGTTTTAAGTCAAGGACTAACTGCATTAAAGTCTATCTGGGAAAAGGCAATCCATTTGGGTTTATCAGTCTTTCTATGCCATCTAATATCTAACCAGTATGAAAGAGCTGAAAATATTATTCCTGGCCAGGTGTGAGATGCTTCTAGTATGGTAGAGTGAGTATGGGGCAGATGTTACCTAGTTGGGTCATGAAACATCTGCAAGAAGGCTACCAAGCTCAGAGAGTACCAAGAACTTTCTCACCAAGTGAGAACCATCAACCTATGGAACTGAAGTTGCCCTTGGAAGTTGTGGGAGCTTCATTACTGGAGGCTTTCAAGAAGAGATTGGACTGCCATTTGTCAGAAATGGTGTAGGGTCTCCTGCTTGGGTGGGAGGTTGGACTACATGACCTACACGGTTCCTGCCAACTCTGCGAATCTGTTTAATCTGTAAGACCATACCTATAGTGGGGTAAATAGCATGGGACTAGGTTCCTTGAGGCCGCTTCCCATCAATTACATTGACCCATCTTCTTGGGTCCAGCAGGAGAGGCATCTTGCAGGTCCCATCAGCCAAGGAATGCCATCTGGTGAGACCCAGGAAGGAAACTTTTTCTGCTCACCATCCTCCAGAGATGTTCCACATCCTCCATAGTCCTGACTCAGCTGGCTTTGGCAACAGGCAGAGGACCTTGGGGGTCTGGTGTAGCTGGTGCAGTGCTGCACTGATTGCACTGATCAATGGGGATTCCCTTGGCTGTGAGTTAAAAATGCTTTATGATGGGTTTTTTAAAAATATACTTTTATATTATTTTGCTTGTTTTTAAATTAAATTGCTCTTTTTGATTGTTGTAATATTTGTTTTAATTGCCAGTGTCAACATAGCACCAATCTGCAAACTAAGCAGCTCCTTCAAGCACCTTTTATCTGTGTGAAAGAAACTGGGGCTTCTGGGGCTCACCTGCACATGTGGGCCTGAAGCCAGTTTTATCATCCACAAGAAACTGGGGGAAACAGTCCCTGCCGCGAACTCAATGCAAGAGTTATGGTTGGGTTGGCCAAATGCCAAGCACCACAAGATTCAGCTTCTTTTGCAACCCTCCCTCTTCTTTCCTATGCAAAATGAACCAACAGGAAATGGAGAGGAGGGTGTTAGAGGGGGAGGGCTTCCCTATTATGATTGCAAAGAAGGGGGTTAAACAGCAAGAATTAGGAATATTTTTTCTCCTTCTTCCACATTCACTTCTCCTCTTACTCCTTGATCCTCAAAGCTGCAACATTTGGAACAGTGGTGGGATTGAAATTTTTTTACTACTGGTTCTGTGGGCATGGTTTTGTGGGTGTGGCATGGCTTTTTGGGCATGGCAGGGGAAGGATATGTAAAATCCCCATTCCCTCCCCACTCCTGGAGGAAGGTTACTGCAGAGGTGGGTTGCTCCCGGTTTGGCCGAACCAGTAGTGGAATTCAGGCCTGGGTCGCAGAACCGGCAGTGACCCAGGCCTGCCACGCCCCTGAACCGGTTCCTTCTCCACAGCTGGGGTGCCGCCATTTTGTTTTTTAGTGACTGTGCATGCAGTTCACTGTAAATTGTTCTGCGCATGCATGAAGAACAATTTACAATGAACAGTGCATGCACATGTAGCACGTGTTTGGCGTGCATGGGTTGTGAACCAGTAGTAAAACCGGCAGCAACCAACACCTGGGTTACTGCAAAATCCCCATTCCCTCCCACCCCACTAACCTGCTTTCCAGCTCCTCTCTCCTGTTCAAGGCAACAAAAGATCAGCTGGGAGGCAGCGGGGGTGGGGACAGCCTATTTGCCAGTTCTCTGAACTACTCAAAATTTCCACTGTCAGTTCTCCAGAACCTGTCAAAACTGGCTGAATGCCACCTCTGATTTGGAAGCAACTAGGTTGAGCTGAGTTGGGCATGAGTTTAACCAGGGGAGGGAGCTGCTGAGTACAGAATAGTTTTGATATCTGGTTATAACTGCTTCATAGAACTGCAGAACAATACAGGTGTGTGTGTGTGTGTGTGTGTGTGTGTGTGTGTGTGTGTGTGTGTGTTTTA